CCTAACCCTTTCATTACCCTCAAACCCTAATACTATGGCACTCTGCCTTCTAACCCCAAACCCTAAATACTAAAGACCCTGAAACTCTAACCCTAACCCTTTCATTACCCTCAAACCCTAACACTATGGCACTCTGCCTTCTTACCCCAAACCCTAAATATACTAAAAACCCTGAAACTCTAACCCTAACCCTTTCATTACCCTCAAACCCCTAATACTATGGCACTCTGCCTTCTAACCCCAAACCCTAAAGACCCTGAAACTGTAAACCCTGTGCCAGGTCTTCTTCATCCTCGTCTTCTCGGAAAAAACATTAAAAAATGTAGTTTTTTTTTTGTGTGTGTTTTAAAGTTTTTAAAAATTTTTAAAAGTTGTTTAAAGTCTTTAAAAGTCTTTCAAATTCTTTTTAAAGTTTGTAAAAGCTTTTAAAAGCGTTTAAAAGTCTTTTAAAGTCTTTTTAAAGCTGTTAAATGTATTTTAATGTTTTTAAAAGTCTTTTAAATATTTTAAAAGCCTTTTAAAGTTTTGAAAAGTCTTTTAAAGTTTGCAAAAGTCTTCTAAAAGTTTCTAAAAGTCTTTTAAAGTCTTCTAAAAGTTTTAGAATGTTTTTTCTTGCATTTGAAAGTTTTTAAAAGTCTGTAAACGTCTTTAAAAGCCAACTCTGTCGAAAAAGCCCTGTGGATCTAAACCTTGTGGTTCTGGTTCGGTGCAAAAGGGCAATGAAGTGAGGCAACACATTGCTCAGTTCTGGTCGCACTCCTGGCATGGCAACAAGATGTCCAAGATTCTGTTGCTCCTTGTGGTGTACAATGGCTTCCCAGCTAGTCTAGTTGGTTCGGCTGTTTTTGTGTCCGTGCGGATCTGTATTCATCCGGAGCTTGAGCTATTCCCTATGAAATACGCTGCGGCATGGAGCACGCTGGCTGGCATTCTTCTCTCAGGCCTTACTCTCCTGATGTGGCCATCTCGCCGACGCGTCTTCCTGGATAGGATCTGCATCCACCAGAAAGACGAGAGGTTGAAGGCTGAAGGCATGCTCAACTTAGCAGCATTGTTGAAGCATTCCCGGAGCTTGTTGGTGTGTTGGGATAGCATTGAACCGTCGTGCGGACGTCTCTGCTGGCGCAGCTACGGATCCGGCTAAGCCAGCTTTCGCTGCAGCGCGACTCAGTTGTCAGGAGGCCTCGTCATGGGCCGCTGCTGTTGTCAAGAGGCAAGTTTGCCGTACCACGTCTTGGCACGAAGCTGTCATGGAGCGCATGAAAGCTTCAGAGATAGCGCCGTGAGTGTTTCACTGTTTCGCTAATGAAGGGCTGCAATCCCACCATTTTGGGCAGGGTACAGTCTCGCCATACATACATACATACATCCAAGCTATATGCTGCGCATGTGGTGTGCAGTAGAATTGGCCGCATACCTGAAATGTCACCCGGACGGCCTGCTGATCATCCGGCCTGTCAGCTGGGGACCATGCACAGTTGTTGGGTTCTTGTGTGTGGCCATGCTGTGGGTGGTCCCAGAAGTTCTGCTCGAGCAGCCTGCGGCTCGAGCTGCTGACACTGTACTGTCAGTTGTCTTCGCTGCCTCTGTGATGGGTTTCATGTATTTCACGAGCGCTGTAGTTCGATCCCATTTCCGGGCTGCATGCGCAGTCCGGGAGCAGCTTAAGACTTTCTCGTTCTACAACGACACACACTGCCATTGTTGCAGCATCAACCATGTGAACCCGAAGACTGGACAGAGGATGTGGTGTGACCGTCAGGCCATTGCTGGATGCCTTGATCATTGGTTTGGCTCCGTTGCGGCTTTTGATGCCGTTGTCCAGCAAGACGTTTCCCAATCGTTCGAGCGAGGCGTCATGCGGTGTGTGTTGCCATATGCCTGGCTTACCAGAGCTACGGTTCCCATTTCCTGGTTTGGCCTTCATCTTGGACTTGACATTCACTACCGCACAAGAGACTCATGGTCCGCTTTCTGCAATGCTCTCTACATCATGGCCTGGTGGCTGGGAACCGTCCCTGTAATCCTAGCGTTCTGGATGCGGATCCCACGTCGTTGTCAGCAGCAATGCTCTGCAAGATGGCGGGAGGTGATGCTGAACGTGACCTGCTCCTGTGTGATGGGCATCATGTTTTTGGCCGTTCGCTTGGCTGAGACGGCGATTGTGCATTCCATACCAACCTTTGGAATCATCACAGTCTCAGCCATGTCTCTACTTGCCGCCGTCATCTGCTTGGCTGATTGGGGCAGATGCATCCATCTCTTTCGTCGCACATCTTCCTCTTGAAGCCTCCAACCAATATCATTATTCTTGTTATGTATACTTACTTGGCATTGTCATTCTTAATACTAATATACTTATTATCACCAAGTCATGTTTGTTATTCTTCTTCTTACAAGTATTATTGTCCATGCAAGAGCCGATCATGGAGCCGCGCCCGATTGGGTGCCAACTGAAGGAGCCTAGAGACTCCACTACCCCTTAATTAAGGAATATACCTTAAATTATAGTAGGATCCTTAATATGATTTAAGGAATATTCCTTAATTGAGGGGTATTGGAGTCTCTGGGCTCACTCTCTTCGTGCATCCTTCCCCGCAAATGTGGGCTATGCGATGCAGTGATTTAATGTCCGGAATACACATATTTTGCGATGAAATTGCATGCAACGGTTGACTGCTTACCCTCCGAGGCAGAGGGGTAACTACAGCTTTTCACATGCAAGGCTCCGTGTTCTCAAACGAGACCAACCAGCTTGGTGTCACGACCATGCGCGCCAGAGATTTCCGCAGGATGAGAACGTGCAAAATTTTCCAAGACTAGCTGACTAGCGACAAAAAGAAGTGCGTCATCCAATTGCGGACTGCAGTCAGTGGCAGCACCAAAGCGTGCCCGAATCTGGTTGAGGCCTCTAGGCTTAGGTCGGTTCATTCCTGCTTCCAAACAGAAATGAGAAGTTCCATAGGAGCTTTTGCACAGGACATAGACATGGAACTCCTTAAGGCCTAAACCCTCCTAGAACCCTATCGGATCCCTAAAACCATCATAGAACCCCTAAATCGCAGCCTTCCAAAGTCCCATGTGCCTGTGAGGAGCTACGAGGACTCCGTGGGCTCTCCACCAGCGCACGGAAGGAGCCTACCTCTGGGGTGTGGTCTCGGGTTTGGGGCTTTAGGGGTTTCAGATGGTTTAGGGTTTGGGTTTAGGGTTTAGGGTTTAGGGTTTAGCGCTTAGGGTTTAGGGTTTAGTGGATCTGGCTAGTCCTTGAGCCCAGGAGCAAAAGAAAGAGGTGTTGGGTTTAGGGGCTTAGCAAGTTGGGCATCTTACATCTGGTCTCTGAGTTTTCGAGTTGGACGCACCGCGCATGCATCCTTGTTGCCGTGAGCTGTTCGGAGCACGCTCTCCCCCGTCACACCGCATCGGCCTCAGCACGGGATTAAATAAGGGGTTTAGAGTAATTACCTTGGAGTCGTCTTTTGAGCAAAGCATGATGCACACAGGAACAGGTGTCAAAGAGGTCTGGGTTCGATAGTTAAGCTTTAGAGTATAAGGGATTAGGATGTCATAAGTAGTGTTATATAGCATCAAAGACTTGCGGGGATTCACGTCAGGGCCCCGGAAAACTTAGAGTAGGGACTTAGACAGTATCGGTATTGACTTGTGGCTTTCATCGAAGAGCGACATGCAGCATGCACGCATATGGACGCATCATGCACCCAAAACCCTAAACCCTAAACCCTTTGTTTCAGTAGACCCAGGCACACATCCGAGCGCTTCAGCTGGAGCTTCACCCAGACAAGCAGCCGGAAGAACGCCGACAGGAGGCTGGACCGTTGAGCGAAATTAGGGGTACCGTATTTTGGGGTCCTTATATAAGGATCCCACTATTGTATCATATTAGGGTCTCCGATTTTCGGACACTCCCATTTCGTGTTTCGCGAGTCGTTTCCAAGCGCGCGAAACCGCGTTGCTCGCAGTCCCGCCCCCCGGTTTCTACAGTTGTGGAGATCCTTGTTGAGTGTGCTAGTAGCGCAGAGGCAAACGGAGACACCAAGGCTTTGTGGTAATAGTCTCCTTTGCGTTCTCTCCTTTCAGCTGAGAGGAAACTCACGAAGCTTTGTCTCATGACCTCGACTGTGACACTCCAACAGAGACACTTCGTGCGGGCAGTCGTGTCTAGTCGTATCTGCCTGTTTGGAATTAGGAAGTATATGCTGCTGGGAAGCTGAACATTTCTGTGTTCCATGTCTGGCAGCTACATTTGCATGAGCCTTTAGCTCCGCACCCTAACATAGGGGCCTAAAGAATTACCTAGACTATGTTGGGGGTTCCTTATTATAATTAGAGTATAATTTGCCCCGAAGCCCTTTTCTAATTATTAGGGCCCAAAATTAAACCCCCCCAAGCTCCGAACTGCATCCAAGAAGCCCTCCGAGGAAGTCGTTGCTTCAGCCATAAACCCCAAACCCTAAACGGAGGATTCTGATACTTGTAGTTGTGATTTAGGGTTTAGGGTTTAGGGTTTAGGGTTTCTTGTAGTTGTGATTGGCTTCAATGTTCAAGCCGAACTCTGTTCAACCAAGTACCCTGCAATGCGGGCTTCGTCCTTGCCAAGTAGGAGGGAAAAAAACCCTAAACTGAACCTGAAGCCAAAACCCAGGAGCTGAACACGTAGGAGGGCAATAAGCCCTCAACCTCCAAGCTTCTGTTTTACTGCTCTGGGGAACTATGTTTGTTTTTGCATATAATGTAATTTCAAGTGATTCATAAGAGTAGTATTTTGTTTTAATGTTCGTTTCCGATTCTAAGGGCGGCTAAATGTCTCTGATGCCATTTTAAAGGACCCTATAGGTATATAACCTTAGTATACCCATTATATCCTCGTTAAGGGTCCCTCTTCTGCCTTTTTTCTGAGGCCAAAAGGTTGTTCCTTTTGGTCCAGAGCGAGTGGGAGACTCTTCAGTCTTCCTCGGAGATGCCCTGGGAAGGGCAATCGCCCAGAAGAGCTCAGAAGGCACACCGCTTTTGGGGACCCTAAACCCTAGCCGACTCGAGTGACCCGAACCTGTAGTCAATGCGAACCGACACACCTCGTTTGGCTTGAGTTGCGAGAGCGTAAACCCAGCTGAGCCTACTGAACTGTAGGGGCCTTTATAATTAGAATGGGGTTTTGAGAGTTCCTGATTAAAAATATAGTATAATCATCCCCATAAGGCCCCACATTACAAGAGCTCAGAAGGCACACCCAGCTAAGGGTGATCTTGAGGTTTGTCAGAAACTAAATAGTTACCAATACTATTTTTTTTGAGGGGGGGTCCTTATTGTAGTTATAGTATAACGAGCCCCAAAGCCCTCTTCTAATTATCAAGGCCCATATATTATGCGAACATAGTACGCCTCTACACCGCGCTCCTTGTCCTCAGCCCGAAGGCCAACGCTCTGCAAACATCCAGAATAGGGTCGTGGGGCCCAGAATACTAGAACTATAGGGGCCTGAATACTTAGAATAGGCTTTTGGGGGCCCAGAGTTCGGTGACTATAATACTAGGATGCCCAGTGGTACCCTTATTCCCTTTTGTAGTCCCAGGTTCCTTATAAAGTTACCCAATACCAAAAAGAGAGGCCTTTTTATTCTTAGGTTACTGGGTATCCTAGAATAAGGAACCCCCCAAAATAGTATTGGTAATTGGCCCCTCTAGTGCTGCAGCTCCCTTGAGTTCTGGATCAGCCCCCTTGTGCCAGGCGCAGGCAGACTGGGCCCAACGAAGGGCGCAGACCTTCGATGAGGAGCCGCCTTTTCAACGTCAGAGCAGCGGTGTCGGTGTGGGGGTTCCTGAAGTTTTAGTGTTTCCCTTCAGGGTTCGATTAGTTCGATAGCTTCAGGTTCAGGTCTGATATTTCAGGACTAGATTCAAGATCCGTTGGTTTCGCGAGATACCTTTGGGTGTCCCTGGGTTGGGTTCGGCGTTCGATGGGCAGGGTGGTTTATGAGCAGTATCGGAGGCCTGGACGCCGGGTTTCGACTTTGGGTTGGCTTCCCAAGCCCCTCTGGATACTTTCATGTATCGGCATTGGATTTGTGTTGTTAGGACGCATGCTGCGACAGTGCTGTCGCATCCATCTTTTTTCGTTGCATGGTTCGACAAGTCGTGCCTTACGTGGGCCGCTTTGGCAGATCATGGTATGTCAGCGTTCGGGCTTTGTTCCTGAGAGTAACGATCCTACTATTTAGGGTGCTATATTCTTTGTCATAGTTGGGTAGCATTTTACATTTTTCCTGGGTACTTAAACCCAATAAGGAATCATGGTTGGGTAACATTTTATTGCATGTTTATGGGTACTTAAACCCAATGAGGAATACAAATTCAAATTCTTACTCCTATCCCAACCATGAACTAGGCATTGGTGTCCCCCTGCAACTGCAGCCACGTTGTGCCCGGTGCGCAGTGCTTAAACCCGAAGCCCTACTTAAGGCTCACACATAACATAATTCAGGCCAAGAAGGAGGCGAAGCCCCAGGCTGGGCAATGCATGCTGCGGCTGTTTCAGGGTTACTTGGAGGCCCAGGGGACTTAGTAAGGTGTTTATAAGTAGGGCTATATTTGGGGTAGCTCCACTTAAGCTACTTTTACTGGATTTATAGCCTTACCAAGCCCCATGGGCCTCTAAGTAGGCTTCCGGATTTGGAGTTTGGCTTCCTGTAGCACGAGCTTTTCCGGCCAAGACCTCTCGGCCAGGATACAAAAAAAGGCTTGGCTTCCCTCACATAGTCGCAGCGGGGAGTCAATCTGCCTCAAATTAGGAAGGTCACAAGCATCGTTTCCTAAATTATTGGCACCTGGCCCTGACACCGTCTTTTGCTGATGTTGTGGCCCTTATGTTCAGGATAAACCATATAACCATACTATAGCACCCCCCCTCAGTTGTATCAGAAGCCACCCAACTTGAGGCGCGCGCTCCACCAAAGCCGCCTTCCTATCGGAAGGCGCTTGTTGAGTCCATGGGTGGCGTTATTGGGGTTAAGGGTTGAGGGGTTTAGGCCTCAGGATTTGGGGCTTGATACCCTAAACCCTTCAACCCTAAAGCCTAAACCCTGAACCCTATACTCTAAACCTGAAATCCTAAAGCCAAAACCCAGAACCCTATATCCTATACCCTGAGCCCTAAAGCCTAAAACCTATACCCTAAACCCTTAAACCCTAAACCCCTAAACCCCTAAACCCTAAAGCCTAAACCTCAAGCCTAAACCCTAAATCCCTTTCTAGGCTTTATAAAGCCTAGAAAACCCAGCAGGATCCGCCCCGGCCGAAGACCAGCCACGAGCGGAAGCCCTCCGAGTTCCGCTTCTCCGATCTCCCTGAGGTGCGGAGCCTGAAGCCTTTCAAAAAGGGTTCTGGTTTAGGGTTTAGGGTTCCCGGGTTCCCTATGGTTCCTTTTTAAGGGAAGGGTTCCGTACTATACTTTAGGGGGCCTTTAAGGGTTCCTTTTAGGGTTAAGGGCAGGGTCTGTTCTGGTTCCTTTAAGGGGGGCCTGAAGAGTTCTTTTAGGGTTCCTTCAACGTGCCTTTAAGGGTTCCTTATGGTTCCTGTAAAGTGCCTTTGAGGGTTCCTTTAGGGGGGCCTTTAAGGGCTCTCTTTTTAAGGTTAAGGGAAGGGTTCCTTATGGTTCCTTTAGGGGGCCTTCAAGGGTTCTTTAGGGGTTCTTTTAGGATTCCGTGAACGTGCCTTTAAAGGGTTCCTTATGTTCCTTTAAAGTGCCTTTAAGGGTTTGTTCAGGGTGCCTTTAAGGGTTCTTTCAGGGTTCCTTAAGGGTTTCTTTTAACGGTCCCTTTAACGGGTTCCGTTGATTAAAGGGCGCAGGCTTTCTGGCAAGGTTCATTTTTGCTCGACTTCTGGGTTGCTTGGCTTCGCTTCAGGGGCTTAAGGTCCAGGCTTGAGAGTTCGTGGTTTTTGATGCCTCCGGGCCGGAGGGGAGACCCTGAACCCCTAAACTTAGCTTAAACCGTAGCTGCCAGGATAATGACATGCCAAGTATCGAATGTCAATTGCAGACGTGCGTGCATGCCACATGCTCGGTCCTTTTTGCTTTGTATTTGCCGTGGAAACGCGAAATCGAAACTCAGTCGCAGCCTACAGACGTGCCAAGCCGCAAGTATTGGCCCAAGGACTCCGCGAGCGAGGACGAAGGAGACTGCCTAGAACTAGGTGGGCGTGGCATTGTGCGTTTTGGTTTCGGGGTTCTCGGGTTGAACTCGGGATGTTCATATCTTTCTGCCTCGAGACATCTGTGTCGGGCTTCTGAGATTCTGCAGGAGTGCGGCCACAGCCTGCCCGTGTCAGAATGGGTGAAGGAAACCTTTGACTGGTGACAAAGGTGGTTCGCTCAAGGTTCGGCAGCTCCTAGCTGGCTAATATAGGGGCTTTAATAATTACGTACACTGTTTTTGGGGCTCCTGATTATATTTATTATAGTAACCCTATTCTAATTATTAAGGCCCCCCATAGTACCTTTGGCCTTGTGTGCAAGATGCCAGGTGCCCACTGGTGCGCGCAGGACGTGCAATGTTCAGGGCTTATAAAGTTTAGTTTCTACAGCGCTTGAGGTGTCGTTTTTTGAGATCAAGACGGAAACCGCTAAGCCCTAAACCCTAAACCCTGATTCCTTTATATAAACATGGCTCGATGAGAAGCAGCTGCAAGCTGACTGGCCCTGGTGATGGGGGCGAATGCTTGGAATGTCTGCCAAGTCGTGAATCAGGATTTGTTAGAAGGGGCCCCCGCCCTATAATAGTGGTATAATTGGAATATAATAGGGCCCTAATACAATCCTTATAGCCACTATTACAGGGTGGGGGCAGCTTCTAAAGGATTTGCATCAACCGCAAACCAACCATCGGAAACCTAAATCATCGAACCCCATAGTCCCCCAAAGGACCTGCCCTTGCACACCCGTAGTACCAAACTTCTCTACAGACCTCGCCCGGCTTTGCCGAGTTTGCGCGTCAAAAAAGTTCCCCAAAGCCACCCTAAACCATCGCGTGAGGACGAGGACGATGAAGGCACCGGAATCGTCCCGTTGCTGACTTCTGGCCTCCGCTGCTTCCCGGATGTGATGCAGGACGACTATTAATGGGTCTTACCAGGGCTTAGGGTTCAGACTAGCGCTTGTTTGCAATTCTGGAATCAGCAGTAGTCGTCATCGTCGTACTAGCTGTAGCAGCAACAGATCACGGAAACGATTGGAATTAATCCTGACTCGCCTGTGTCAACCGATGTTACATACTGGTAGTATATCGCCTTGCCACAATGTACGAGTTCTGGTTTTATTGACTTGGGTTTGAATCAGTTTTGGCTGAGGGTTTGGGCTAGACAGGCACGAGGGCCTTCCAGATTGCCGCAGGCCTTTACGTCCATCCAAATCGGACGCGGCTCAGAAGCATCAGTGGTGCAGGGGCTTGCAAGTCCGTGCTTAAAGAGTGTCTAGGGTTCTGATTTCAAGAAGATGGAGACATTGGCGTAGCGCGGCACAGCTGGTGCCTAGATCGGTTCGCCGTTGCCTGCTTCAGTTCAACACCAATAATCGGAAATCCGTAACCAAACCTTAAACCCTGAACGGAGTGCTCGTTGCACCCGAGCACAGAGACCTTTTCTGCGTAAACGAGCACTCCCACTCATGCCAAACGCAGCCCTTGCCGTGTCGCTGTATCAAGGCAAGAGTCGAGGTCTTGATGCCGAGAGGCCTGTGGGTGGCTTTCGGGGTTCAGGGTGCCCGGAGACTCCTAAACCCCCTTAATTCAGGGGTGCACCTGAAATCTTATTCTGGTTTCTCTTATAGTTTAAGGCCTGTTCCTTAACTAAGGGATATTGGAAGGTCTGGGTGTTTCACGAGCGTCCTACAAGCAGAAATGGTTTTTTGGGTAGTTCTCCAAACTAGGGCCTTTTTTAGGGTCCTTTCTGTAATGGTGCCGTACTCTTTGGGGACCGGAAAAGTGATCCTAATTTAGAGAACCACCCATCTCACGCATAGCACCGAAACCTTTGCACGGGCGTTTGCAATGAGACACAGTGCCTTGGTTAGTATGCAGCGACTACTATTCAGTATTGCTGTGCCAGTTGTTCGTACAGACTCACAGGTGCCCATGTCTACAGTAGCTGGCTGTTGTGAGTTATAGTCAAATTCCGGGTCGTTGTTAGCATGGGATCTCATGAGACATGATGCTGTGGCACGGGGCATCTGACTCAGAGAACTAACCGATTATGCAAGTAGGGGGCCATGCTGCCAGTACCTCTGAGAGCCCGTAGCCAAACACCAGGCCCTGGGCTCTGAGCCCTCGACAAAGAAGACCCAAAAAGTCGACCCCAGAGCCCCTTAATTAAGGAATATTCCTTACATCATAGTAAGGGTCCTACTATATGTTAAGGCATATTCCTTAATTGAGCCCGCACCCCGTAGAAAAGTCCTGGATCTTGTCCTCCCCCTCCCTTCCCTAAGCCCGAAACCTAAAAACTCAACCTTAAACCCTGATCCCCTCCGAAGTATAGGGGGGAAAAAGCAAAGCAGGCCCGGACATCCCTGGCGGGGGAAGATGGATAGGTTCGAGGCAGAAGCTTGGAGACGCTCGCCACGGCTACTACTGTATTGGTTTTGAGTTCTCAGGGGCTTAGAAGCTCAGGGTTCAAAGGATTCACGAGTTCAGATTCAGGCATTGCAGGATGTCAGCATTGTGGTGGGGTTGAGTTCGCTTGGAGGCCTGCTCACACTCCAAGATCTACATGTCGGAAAAGGCCTCATCTTCATTTAACAAATGCCGATGAGAACCAAGGACTCTACGCGCAGCATCAATCTCAGAAAGGCTGGCAAGAGTCCCAAGTCGGCTGTCGCAGATAAGTCTCAGAAGTCGTGTTTCGTCCTGAGGGCTTAGGCTTCGGGTAGGTGGGTTTAGGGTTTAGGGCCTAGTTACGGGGCGCGGTTTAAGTAGAGTTCAGGGTTGTGGGAAGATGGCGCCGCCATGTTGGGTCCTGAACTTATGACGGGTTCGATTGGCGCAGTGGTGAAAAGCTGATGCACACGACTGTGGCATGATGGTGAATGGTGGGAATAGGCCAAACTTCGTCTTGGGGTTTTGAGATTGGCAAAGATGCGATTTCGGGTGTGCAGGGTTGAGGCGAGGCGTTACATCAACCAGCTCAACTCCGCCGGAACCTTCTTTTCCGTAGAGACCCTGCTGAATGAACTATGAACTCTTGGCACATTCGAGCCCTGTACATAAAAACAGTGGGCGCCAGCAGGTTGACGCAGGTTGCACTTTGGAGGTTGTTGGATTTTGTATGAGCAGCGAGCTTGGCGACTTTGCTCATTGATGCGCAAAGGTTGCTTTCGTTCTGCCGGTCCACCGAAAATTGGTACTGTGGTCTTTAGATGTTAGGGTTTCCTGCTGTCTGAAATTCTTAGAAATTCACCAAGTACAGGCTGCAAGTGTAATTACCTGAAAGCCGGATCCGAATTGCATCCAACGGAAAAACAGGCTAGGATTTAGAGTTTGGGGTTTGGGAAAGACCTCGTTCAAGAAGGCCTTAGGGCTGCACCTGCCATACGATGGAGGTGTGGTTGCGATTGGCTAGACTTGAGCCCAGTGGGGGGGCTCAAACAATTACCAAAGCATTTGGGGGCCCCTTGTGGTATAATATACCCCCCAAACCCTGTTCCAATACGGAAGGCTTCCACACCTTCGCCATCGCAGAACACCTCCACAAGGCTGGATGCGATGCTGAGCTCGGGGATGATTGCAGAGAGGGGCGCTTTATAGAAGCTTACACAGTAGCAGCATTAGGATCCTTATCATAAATACCCCACCAAAATAAAGAACCCATGAAGGGTCTGTTGAAACTAGGACAGCCGTGTTTATAGGAATCCTTCGAGTAGGGTTGCAAGGAAGGTTTGTCAGCTCGCAGACGAAGCGTTAGTCCACCTGAGTAATTACGAACAGCGTATTCAATCAGCAATTCCGAGCTCTGTAGCACCAGTGCTCTGTTCATTGTTATCATTCATTTCTGTCTTGTTCCGTGCCGGCTCTTCCGTCTGCACGGTTTGACACCAAAGCAGTCAGCACCATAGGCATGTGCCCTAGACCCTAAACCCGCAGCCCACAGTCACCCCGAACCCTGAGGTTCCTGAGCCCTCTCCTTCATCTCGCCTGGTTCCAGCCACTCCAATGCTCGGGACTCCTAAACCCAAACGCCCGCCGACAGTAGCTCAGCCCCAAACCTTTACCCGCAAGAACCTGAAGTCTCCCTCCAAAGCCGTAAACCCCTAAACCCTGACCCTAAACCCCGGGCTTTGTCCTTGCTAGGTAGGAGGGAAAAAACCCTTTAAACCCCTAACCCTAAACCCCTAAACCCCAAACCCCTAAACCCTAAACCCCTAAACCCTCAACCCCTCACCATAAACCCTAAACCCTAAACCCCTAAACCCCTAAACCCTAAACCCCTAAACCCTAAACCCTAAACTCCTATCCCTAAAAAAGCCGACGCCGGCGAGGCCATGAGGTTGGATCCCAACAGAGGGGAGCTGTCGCCTGGCTTTAAGGGTTTAGGGTTTTAGGGGTTTAGGGTTTAGGGGTTCCTGGTATATGCCTAGTCCAGGTGTAAAACGGGGTTTAGAGTTTAGGGTTTGGCGCGATGCTGTTGTTGCCTTTCACCTTCCCCGGCCGACTTTAGGGATTGAGGGTTTAGGGTTTACTCACCTGAGGATCCAAAAACCTACGGTTTTAGGGGTCAGACCATATAATTAGAGGGTCATAACCTACTATGTTTGTAGGGTTTGGGGATATAGTAGGGATTACACTTTGGCCAAGTAATGCACCTGTACAGAGTTGGGTGAGCACGGAAGTCCGTGATGCAAGAATCTGTCTAGTCCCCAGACCCAATTGCAAACAGGAGCTCGGGTCTAGTTGGGGAGCTGTTTGTGGGTCTCCCTGAACGCTAATTTCCAATCTACCGGTCTCCCAAACCCTCTGGTACTCCCGAGGTCCGGGAGGTGTGTTCGTGTCTGAGACGACAACAGCTGCCCAGGTATTTGGACAGAGCGACGTACCGTGCCAGGCACGCCTGCGCCGAGCTCCTGCAGAACCAGGCGTCTCTTGAGATCGGGGCTTCAGCATCCGTTTTTTCTCTGCAGGGCAGGTTAAGTTTGCATTTTCGGTGTGCTGATAGCAGGCTGGTCTGCGATCATGAGGGCCTGGACTGACGGCAGCAGCCTCTTTTACACTGAAAGCCCTCTAAATATCCCATAACATTCTACAAGACGCGAGGATATACGATAACATACAAGCATATGCTACGATATACTGCAGGACATACTACAACCCACTTCTTGAACACATACAATTACTGTGAAAATACGTGTTTTGCGATACTGTGGAACCTACGACAACACACCACGACACGCGATGCCATACTACAATAATTACATCACGATATCCTGATATACTCTACAACTATAATATACTGAAACACGGTATGAGGCTGCGCCTGTGTCCCAGGCATGGCATCTTACAACTTTCAGGGCCCTGGATGTCGACCCCTTGCACCGCTAATCTTCGCTTTTGTGTTTGAAGTTTGAGGGTTTTGCGTTAAAGGTTATAAAGTCTGGCTAGACATGAGTCCAGTAGCAAAAAAGGGTTTAACTTTGAGGGTTTGTGTTTTCGAAGTAGCTCTACTCAGCTTCAGGTTGTTTCTTGCAGGACTTGTAACGAAATTTGGACCTGGACAGTGTATTGTATGGGTGGTTGTCAAAATTAGGTTTTTTGGGGGGCCTAACATAGTACGGCACCTAATATTTGGGGTGCCCAAAAAGGGACCCTACTTTTGACAACCACCTATATACTGGTCCACCTCCCTGCCCTGAGCTTGTGACAGCGGCAGGTGCCGGCAGATCCCCACCGTAAGGAATTGCAGCAAGTCCTCGAGGACACCGGGGGAGAGCTTCTATATGTTGATCATATAAATCCTGCATTACCCATAAACTGCAAAAAACCATAATTCCCATAGTTTAGAGCCCTTAAGGTAATGCAGGATGAATATCATCAACCATAGCAGAGGCCAGTAGGTTGAGATCGAGCCGGGCCCGTTTTAGTTCTTAGGGCTTCCACTGTCTTACGGGTGGGTACATCGATTTAGGGTTTTGGGGCTTGTGGTTTAGGGGTTTAGGGCCTGTCGTGAGTCTGATGTTCATGCTATCGTCAGAGAAGCAGTTCCGAGACTGATATGGATAACAGCTTCTTTGCTTGTGGAATGCTCCGGTCGGCTCATGCTTCAAGGGCATCAGGATATCGGGTGATGCATCGAAGTTGAGGGGAGAGTCGCCTGTGATCCTCTCCTCAATTGCTAAGACCTCGTAAAAGGAAACAGCCGTATCACCAGACACAGGAGGTTGAGGTAGGAGAGGTCTCTCGGAGGCCTGGCGCGATTCCGAAAGCCCCGTGTGTGCCCTGCAGGTCCATACCAACTGTTTTTGGTCAGCATTGCTTGTGAATCAGAGCAACCCTCGAGCCAGCTTGCGGAGACATCAATATCCATTGCTACAGCCATTTTGGCTACAAGTCCTGATGCGCATGGCATGCTCAAGCTCGGAAAGCTCCGATGACTCCTCGGATACATCAACTGCATCCAGCCGATCCGGTTGTTCCTTGAAGCCTTGGCGGCCTTGGCGGTGGCGATGGTGGCCTGGATCATATTGTTTGGTCTTCATCGTCAATATCACCGCCACTGCTTTGTTCTTTCCTCGAGACTTGACTGAGGACCAATGGAAACAAGGTATTAAGAACCACATTTTCCGTCCGCAAGACGTCACCTCGTGCCCAGTTTATAGCAAAGTCTCCTTCTTCGGGCTACAGTTGGCGAGTTTCGGAGCTGGTTGTGCAGCAGCCTTTCTCATCAAAAGGGCCCAATCCTCAGCTCATGCGAGATCGGCTTGTGGCTACGCAGGCATCAACTGGGTTCAATCTATCTTGGCTCCAGCTGGCTTTGTGCAGCACGGCTGCTACTACGGCTTACTGGCAGATATCTACGGGTTTTACGGAACCGTCACTACGTGCAGGCTGCCGCTTTATTTGATTGCTTTGCTCTGGATGCAAGTGCTCCTTGTTGAGCGGCTCGTTCAGTTGGAACGAAGCTCGCATGAGAAATACTGCAGCAAGTGGCTTCGTAAGTGCATCTGGGTGCAAGCCTTTGGTATTGCCGCGGTTGTACCTTCAGTTGCTGCCGGGGAAATCTTCGAACTTACGGCCTTCGAAAGCAATTCTACTGTGATTTTTACCGTCTTGTCCTTTTTGTGCAACATCCTGGCAAACACCCTTGCGGTTTGCTCCTTCGGTAGATGTCTCGGCCAGTTGTGGAGTGTTGTGCACCTCGCCGCAGAAAGTGGAGTCCCGCCAGCTGCAAAATCTTCCTTGGCACGAGCCAGCAAGCTTGCTGCTTTACAAGCAATGGGCGTGTCTTGCAGCCTTGTGCTGTCGATTCTGACAGGTCCACTCGTGTTTGAAGCGGTTTTCGAGATTACAGGCAGGGTTTACAACTTCACGGAGGATGGAAACGCCCTTGCATGGGCTGCATTGTTCATTGAGTTCCTCGATGTTTTGGGCAATGCGACGGCCGTGCTCCTCTTGTGCGGTGGCCACAGGTTGCCCATGGACGACAGCCAGCCAGGCCTACCCAGTAAAGGGTCCGCCCTCTGTTCCTGCCTTGCACGGCCTAGAGCATTGCCGGTGGAAGAGACGTCGTGGAGTCACGCTTGGCGCGCGAAAGTTGAAGAACTTTCATTGCGAGGCATGACTTTGCGCAGCCTTCTGTGCTTCTACCAGGAAGATCTGGCGACCATGCCAGACTGGCAATATGCCCCGAATGAACACAGGACCAGAGATGTGGTCCGCAGGGCGATCATTCCTCTCACCAGCAGAGAAGAAGCTTCATATACAGCTTCCACTTTGAACAGGGACACGGCCAGACGACCCCAAGTCATGGTAACCCATAACTGGGGAAACTGCTTCCGGGACTTGCTAGCAGCTGTCGTCTCGGACGCACTGATGGAATGCAGCTATAGCTTGGTTGCAAAGCTCCTGGAGGAAGATAGCGACTTGTTGATAGAGCTCCTAGGTCAAATCAGTCGCTTGGATGACACATACTGGATTTGCGCATTTGCAGTCAACCAGCACAGGTGCATCTGCCACAACAACCCTTACGACCGTGATCCGTTGACAAATCAGCTGCATCCGGTTTGCACCTGCAGCAGCATAAACATATCTGACCCATCTGGCCAAAGTACCGTTTCAGAGGTGAACAAATTCGATGACATGATGTATCACCTTGCAGGCACCAGCGGAGGCTGCAGGCAAGTGGTTGCGGTGGACCAAGGTTTTGACTTGTTCAGCTGTTGGGGAGCCCACAACCTCCACGCGGTGACAGTGGACACAGTTGAGCTCGATGTGACGAACAGTGGGACAGAGGACTACAGGCTGGGTTATGATTTCAATTTGATGTGGACTTTGATTGCAGGAGAGGCTGCCTTTTTTGAGCTCAATGGTGACCATGCTGCCTTTGATCCGAGTGAGTCGTACCACTGCGTTTCGCTCTACATAGGCTGTGCAGGTGCTTCTGGGCTGGAGGCTTTTGTTTGCAGATTGAGGCGATTGATTGGATACGCGGGACAGAGAGTCGGTGAGGCCTCAAATCCGGGAACAAAGCTGATCAGGCTTTGCAGTCAGACCCTGGCACAGGAGGAGGTGTACATCAGTCTTCCACCTTAGGACAATCTTTGGGCAAGGCTGATGGGCGACAGGCTGGAAAAGCTGAAGCCAAATCGGGTGGAGGACGGGGCCAGCTGCCTGGTGCTACCAAGGGCAAGGCCGCTGGCAAAGCGCCACCGAGCGACAAGGCAGTTTCGGTGCCACAGACGTTGAAGCATGATGAGTGGCTGCTTAGGCCAGATGATTGGCATGCGAAGCTTATCACTGCAGAGGCTCTTAATGATTATGGCGGAGCAGGCGAGTCTTTGCTTGTCCAGGCGAAGAATCGCGAAGAGGCGGAGGTGTTGCAGGTTCTTGTTTCCGGGCGTGGACTTCGAAGTTCCGTCTTGTTGGCATGGAGGGACGATGAGGGCAAGTTACAGCTTCCCTTTTGGCAGAAGGGCAGGGCAGCATTACATCGTGTTGATATGCTGAAGTATGAAGTTGCGGGAGTTGCGCTTGCTACCCTCAAAGAACAGAGAAAGGCGCAAAAGATCAAGGCGGTGCCCACGGTCGTCCTCCGAATGGCGCTTGTGCAAAGCTTGGCTTCGGTGTCTGATTGGACGCAGGCCAATAAGAACCTTCGCGGATTTGCCATGGGACGTGCTTCCACGGTAAAGGACCTTTGGGGAGGAGCTGTGGAGCAGAAGCGCGGGCCTACGCTTGTTGCATTAGTTAGGGTTGATGCTGCCCATGTCAAGATGCTTCTGCAGAAGAGCGGTGTGGGTGGCCTCTTTTGGGAGCCGTTGAGCCGCGCCGTTGATGGAACATCTCTTGCTGTAAAGTGGGTCGAGATGAAGGAGGGCGAGACGGACGGTGCCTACCTCCAGCGATGCTTGGTGCAGAAGCCCGATTGGGGCCTCGTTGTGGGTAGGCGACAGCTTGGTGTTCGTGTTGATCAGCAGCTTGAGCTTGTTGTGAAGGCGTGGAGACTTCCCCACGTTCCACCAGAATGGACCCAAGACGATATTGAAACCATTCTTGGAGACGCCGGGCTCGAGCACATTGCTGTCACTGGGCGCATGGCACGCAAAGGTGGAACTACCTGGTTTGTCAGGGCGGCTTCCAAGCATGATGTTGTGGTTGTTCCTGTGGAACAGGGAAAGGATGACACTCGCATGCTGTACCTGCTACCGGCGACGCCTACTAGGCGGGGTCCGGCGAGCCGCACCCCGTTGCCCCGACAGACAGGTGCGAAGGTTGACGTGGCGCAGTTCAAAGTGGTGCAGAAGCCAGTTGATGCTGCGGCAGCGACTGGCGATGCGAATACTGCCGAGGCCGAGCAGCAAAGTGCGACCAAGCGCATTGCGGTTGGCTATCGTGAGGTGCCTGAGGGCACCAAGGTCGTTGCTATTGACCGGGATGGAGATTGCCTGCCTGCCTCCATCTCGCGGGCCATTGCCTGGCATAAGAGCACGGACAAAGCCATGCCGGCGAGCCGTATGAGGGCGGAGGTGATTGCTTACATGAATCGCAAGAAGTCTTACTATGCAGGCTTTTGGGACCAGAGGGACACCAATGATGAGGATGCTGGTGACACGGACTTTGATGCGTACTTGTTGCAGGCGGCAAAACCATCCAAGTACTGGGGGCACCTTGAGGTTGCTGCTGCTGCCGACTTGTTTAACCTCTCGGTGTACATCATACCGACGGATGCAGCTGTGGCTCCCACAAAGCATGGAACAGGGGCCTATCCTGTTGCTTTGCGCTTTGAGAGGGGCAGCGGCAAGATTGGGCACTATGACTTGATTCAGCCGAAGGAGCCTCAGGCTCCGTTGCCTGCTGTCATTACAAACATACAAGAGTTTGGAGAGGCGAGCGGTGGCCGAGGCGGAGGGGTGGATCCTGGGGAAAACACTGGTAGCCAGACTGGTGGTTCCGATGCCTGGACTGTGTACACTGTTGACGCGAGGGGTCAGCATGTTCCGGTCGGTCGAGCGGCTCTTGGTGGCGACGCCACGGTGCCGAGTTCCTCGTCCCAGAGTGTGGGGCGTGCTTCACTTGCTGTCGCTTTCTCGCGTGGAGCCCGCAGTTTGGAGGACCCTGTGAAGAATGCTGGCGATGGCCCTGTTCTGGGCCAGTCTGAGGTCCCTGAGAGGCTGGAGGTCGCTGCGGCGGACATCGCTAACCTGCGAGACTTCGATGAGGAGCAGCATGAGTCGAGTGTTGTGCCGCCCAATGTCAACA